TGTGTTTTGTGTGTCTTCCCATTACCTTACCACAGACGAAGTTCCAGATTTTCTCTTTTTTGTTTCTATATGTGACGAGGCCATACCCCTAGCTTTTGAAACAGCCGAACACCAACGCGTTACCGTCACAATATATATATATATATATATATATATATATATATATATATATATTAGTATATTTTGGTAGCAGTCTTTCCTGTAGACATATTTTATTAAATATGACCGAAAAAGTAAGATTAATAATTCTAACACGAATTTTCTCAATCTTTCGTACATTATGCTTCACTGTTGGAGGTAAATCAAAAATCACTTCTCCAAAATTCATTTTTATTTCTAGTCTGACGCGACACGGGCGCGTTTCGTAAAACTTATTACATTTTCAAAGACTTCACAAATACACAACTGATTAGAACTTGCGTTTCCCTGATTTTATATCTACATTTGAGAATAGAGATAGAAACGTTATCCCTACAGACAAAAATCAGAGGATACAACTGACGATTTACTATAAAACCAGAAAAACGGCCAGCCTACTCATGAGAAACTCTCCAGACACGAAACAGAACGCTTTAAAAGAGACTAACGTCGTCTATGCCTTCAAATGCCCACTTGGGGACTGTAAGCTCCAAAAAACCCAGTATATAGGCAAGACAACAACATCTCTTTCTAGGCGTTTAACGATGCATAAACAACAGGGCTCCATTAAGGAACATATAATCTCTTCCCATAACCAAACCATCGCCAGAGAAATCCTAGTAAACAACACAGAAATCATCGATAGATACAGCGATAGCAGGCGGCTCGACGTTTGCGAGGCACTACACATCAAGAAGTCAACACCAGCAATCAACAGCCAATTATTGCACAACTATATTCTACCCACCTCAAGACTCCGCTCCAATATAGAAGCATCAAGAAATATGGACCAATAGGCTTTCTACAAACACTTCTATTCAATATCCATTGTTTCGTGTTCTGTCTTGTGTTGATACTTTTAATACCCTATTAATATCCTCTAATGCCACATCATCCTTCCCACCTTACTCAAATGTAATGCCACATCACCCTTCCCACCTCACTCAAATGTAGATATAAAATCAGGGAAACGCAAGTTCTAATCAGTTGTGTATTTGTGAAGTCTTTGAAAATGTAATAAGTTTTACGAAACGCGCCCGTGTCGCGTCAGACTAAAAATAAAAATGAATTTTGGAGAAGTGATTTTTGATTTACCTCCAACAGTGAAGCATAATGTACGAAAGATTGAGAAAATTCGTGTTAGAATTATTAATCTTACTTTTTCGGTCATATTTAATAAATATATATATATATATATATATATATATATATATATATATATATATATATATATATATATATATATATATATATATATATATATATATATATATATATATATATATATATATATATATATATGAAAAGAGACATGATCACGATATATTAAATTCCTAGGGGCACTACACCCAGGCCCCATTCAACATAACTTGCTCTGGATGAACATGGTGCGGCGGAGCAGGAGGTGATTTTCCTTTGGCCTTCTTGATCTGCCTCCAGATGTCGCCCAAGGACGTATGCTGATTTAGCTTGGCACACCACTCGAGCCATTTTTCTTCTCTGATTTTTGCTGTTTCTACGTGCACATGATCTCGGACAGCTCTAAGAAGTCCTAGATTAGCTTCGGTTCTGTCTCTTCTGAAATTCTTTCGTGCACGATTTAGTCTGTTATGTAGCTCTTTGATCCTATCACAGTAATACCAATGTTCCTTGTGATGTTGGGTAATTGTTTTCCTCTTGGGGATGGCGTGATTTGCTGCTCTATGTATTGCATTTACTAAATCTTTTTCCATTTCTTCGGTGTTGTCAGGAGGAGTGTTGTTTTGGTGCCAAGTTTCGAGAGCTTCCTGAAACTTCGTCCAATCTACCTTGATAAAGTCCCATCCGGGCTCGGGAGCTGGAGGTCCAGGAGGTAGTGCTATATTAATAACTGTTTTTGTAGCAAAGTGGTCACTAGTCATAACATGATCCATTGACCAATGACACAACTCATAAATACTGGTGGAAACAAACGTGAGATCCAACTTTCCCCCACCAGTGTGGGTTGATTCCGTCGAATTAAGCAGACTGATTTCTGGCACTTCATCCAAAAGATGTTCAATATGTCTTCCGGTGGCATCGGTTCTTGGTGAATCAAGAAGTAATTCACTATGAGCATTGAAGTCACCAGAGATGATAGTAGGTGTAGTGACTGCTATTTCAAAGATTGTTGAGATCCATGTCATGTTCTCTCTGGCTCTTGTATACATTGAAAATGTATCCCAGGATATCAAGATATTAACGCTGTCCATTTTCAATGGACAGCGTTGAGTTCCTCATAGTGAGCTTAACTCCCATAATTTCGACGTTCTCGCCAGTCTGTGATTGCCGTGGCATTGATATGATTTCTTACTAGAATTGAAATGCCTCTGGTGCCACCTTGTGCAGTGGAATCCTTGATATCCTGGGATATTGATATATCTGCCAGTCCTGGTGAGTGTTTCTTGGAGTAGAACAATATCAATGCTATCCTTGAGAAGCACTGCTCTGAGTGTTTGTGCTTTGCTTTTGAATCCTTGAATATTCCATTGTATAATTTTGAGATTGTCCATTTTTCCGTTATAGTGGAATCATTGAGTCCATGGTTTTTACAGTACTGGTTTACCCGACCATTTGTGTCATCTTGGCTGGAGTGGAGACTTTCTTCTTGGTGGGTGAGGAGACTCTTGGTTGGGCCGAAGCGCCCCTGCTACATCCAGCCACTGGGGCACCCGATGATGCAGGGATCATCATTCCTGCCTGGGAGGTCCCGGAGGCAACGGCATGCATGTTCACCCTGCCGCCCCGATCCATTCTGTTGCTGTCTCCCAGTGGAGCAGCGCCCCCCTGCCCCCCTCCACTTATTGGCGGCCCCGTCCTTGCCCAGACCAGAAGGACCCGGCGCGCCAAACTGTTGCTGATCTTCATTTATTCGGACTTGCCGAGGGGTGTACCACTGGCTTTTTACCGAGGGTCTGGTCGATTGGGGTCTAGAAGTTGTTACTTTGGGTTGCTGGGTTGATCCGAAAGCTAGTATTCTTTTTACCCTTTCTGGACATCGTTTGTTCCAGGCGTGATGTGTATCCCCGCAGTTCGGGCATTTTGCTTTCGTTTGTTTGCCTTCTTTGTGCAGATTCTTGCATATGTCGGTATTGTGGAGCTCGCTACATACACCACATCGTTCCGGGCCTCTGCAGCCATCTTTGTGGTGGCCGAAGCGCTGACATCTGTAACAGCGCATGGGTTCTGGGTTGTACAGTCTCAGCCTGAATTGACCATAGATGCCAACACTCAGAGTGTTGATGCGAGGTCCTTTTATTGTTACAAGAACCTGTCTTGTTTCGATATTGTTGTGCTTGCATCTTTCCGCCGTGACATTTGGGCATTCTAGGAGTCTGTTTGCATGAACTTCGACCGGAAAATTTTGAACTATGATTTTGGTGATTTTTTCTTCTGGTTTCAGTTCCACTAGGTGTTCTGTGTTCCTGAGGTTTGTGATTATATCCGGATTAGATGTGGATATGTTATATCTACCTCTAATGTCGGGCTTGGCTCTAAGATCTGATCCTGGATTATTCTCTTCCAGTGCGGCAATGTAAGCATAAGTGGGACCATCCACTGGGTTTTTGGTTTTGAATATGGTCCTTGGCATTGGTTTGGGTGCTGCTCTTGAGTTCTGGTTGGCTTCTAGTTTGGTTTCTTTCGACGTTTCTTCGGTTCTTCTTCGTTTGTTTGCCTTTCCGTTGCCTACAAGTTGCCACGGTGCTTTGTTTAGGGTTTGGTCGTCTTCAGCAATTTTCCTTGCTCTTGCTACTATATCACTGTGTCCTTCTGACGTTAATAATTCAAGAAGGATGGTTAGGAAAGTCATATCCTGGGGAGACATGGTTATACTGTACTAAAAGAGTAACTGAAGGAGTGACTGTAACTGTGTACTGCTACACTCAGCGACTGAAGTGTAACTGAGTGTGTTTTACCGTGTTTAACATCGGATTATATACTCTATGTGTGAGGTGGAAGGATGAACGCCATAACAAGGGGGTGGTATTAGTTGGGTATTAAATATATCAACAGAGCAGATTATGTTCCTTACGGAGGGTCATTGGATGCTGTCTCTGCGTTGGTTCTGGGTCTTGAAGTGGGTAGAATGTAATCATGTGTTAGCTATTTGTTGATTGCTGGTGTGGACTTCTTAATATGTTGTGCCTCGCTGATGTCCACTCTCCTGCTGTCGTTATACTTGTCGATTATTTCAGTGTTGCGTGTCAAGATGTCTCTGGTGATGATCTGGCTGCGTGTGGCGATAACATGTTCCTTGATAAAGCCCTGTTGTTTGTGCTGCTTCATATGGTCCAATAGGAGCTGCCTCGTATGGGCCAGTATGGTCTGGCTCGTATGGGCCAATATGATCTGCCTCGTATGATCCAGTAGGAGCTGCTTAGTATGGTCCAATAGTAGCTGCCTCGTATGGTCCAATAGTAGCTGCCTCGTATGGTCCAATAGTAGCTGCCTCGTATGGTCCAATAGTAGCTGCCTCGTATGGTCCAATAGTAGCTGCCTCGTATGGTCCAATAGTAGCTGCCTCGTATGGTCCAATAGTAGCTGCCTCGTATGGTCCAATAGTAGCTGCCTCGTATGGTCCAATAGTAGGTGCCTCGTATGGTCCAATAGTAGCTGCCTCGTATGGTCCAATAGTAGCTGCCTCGTATGGTCCAATAGTAGCTGCCTCGTATGGTCCAATAGTAGCTGCCTCGTATGGACTAATAGAAGCTACCTTGTATCAGCTAATAGGAGTTACCTTATATGGAACAGTATCATCTGATTCGTATGGGCAAATCGGAACTATATTATATTGGCCAATACAGTTTCTACAGTTCCTTCTACAGTTTCTTTTTATTCTCCAGGCTGGTGTACGTGGAGGCGACCTTGATGGAGGTACATCGCATGCGTGCTGTGACGCCCATCTGTGTACCTCACTGTGCCCTCAGGGACACCACACTACAGGTGTGTTGTGTGTGTACCTCACTGTGCCCTCAGGGACACCACACTACAGGTGTGTTGTGTGTGTACCTCACTGTGCCCTCAGGGACACAACGCTACAGGTGTGTGGTGTGTGTACCTCACTGTGCCCTCAGGGACACCACACTACAGGTGTGTTGTGTGTGTACCTCACTGTGCCCTCAGGGACACCACACTACAGGTGTGTGTACCTCACTGTGCCCTCAGGGACACCACACTACAGGTGTGTTGTGTCAGTACTTCACTGTGCCCACAGGGACACCACACTATAGGTGTGTTGTATGTGTACCTCACTGTGCCCTCAGGGACACCACACTACAGGTGTGTTGTGTGTGTACCTCACTGTGCCCTCAGGGACACCACACTACAGGTGTGTTGTGTGTGTACCTCACTGTACCCTCAGGGACACCACACTACAGGTGTGTTGTGTGTGTACCTCACTGTACCCTCAGGGACACCACACTATAGGTGTGTTGTGTGTACCCGACTGTGGCCGTTTTTTTTTAATTCGTTATATACAATTTAAATATTTAGTGTGTGGAGTTTGGGGTCTGAACAGATGAAGGTAGTATCGTCAGCAAATAGTATAGGTTTAAGAATATTAGAAACATTTGGCAAATCATTGCTGTATATAAGAAATAGGATAAGTCCCAAGATGCTGTCTTCTGAAACCCCTACTGTCAATGGTAGCGTGGGGGAGGTTATGTTATTGATGACTACATATTGGTGTCTGTTACTGAGATAGGAACCAATATAGACCAGAGTAAGGCCTTGCATACCATAGTGGTGAAGTTTAGTAAGAGGTAGTTATAGTTTACAGTATCAAAGGTCTTTCTCAGGTCAGTCAAGAGTCCAATTGGGAACTCATTTTTGTCAAGGGCAGTGCAGAGTATATTAAGCAGACTAATAATGCATCATTGGCACTCTTTTGGAAACGGAAGACAAACTGACAGAGACTTAATATGTTGAGTTTTAGAAAGCAGGAACAGAGCTGTTTGTAAATTATTTTCTTCTTGGTTGTAGCAATGGGAGCCAATTTTTAAATGTAGAGACACGTTGTCGACCCCATCCACCTGTGACATTTGTCTTACACTCACACATCATTGTTCAATGTTCCTGGAGGCTAACCCCAAGCATTACCCTTCTGACCTTGTACAGACAGACAGACAGACAGACAGACAGACAGACAGACAGACAGACAGACAGACAGACAGACAGACAGACAGACAGACAGACAGACAGACAGACAGACAGACAGACAGACAGACAGACAGACAGACAGACAGACAGACAGACAGACAGACAGACAGACAGACAGACAGACAGACAGACAGACAGACAGACAGACAGACAGATAGACAGACAATTCTCCCTAATAGATGCAGATTGATCTTAACTTGATTTCAGTGACTCAGTCTCTCCCCAAATTGTTTGGTTCACAGAAGTTTAACAATAGTTGGCTGTCTTAGCAAACCTCTTAATCTCTCTCTGTTTTACTATTTCCTTCATTACCTTTCTTATTACAATGATGTTGTTACAATGATGTTGTTAGAGGAGGGCTGACGCCCTTGTGTTACCCCGGCAACTGTGCAGGGCCGACGGATCCCTGAAGGGACGACGGTGTTGTGTAACCTGTACAGCGTGCACATGGACCAGGACTACTGGGGCGACCCCGACACCTTCCGCCCAGAGCGCTTCGTCAACCCTGATGGCTCACTGCGCAGGGACGAGCGGCTTATTTCCTTCGGCAAAGGTAACATTATATATGTACGATACGCTGGGTCTGTGTTCGTGAACCTCGCATGTGTCAAGTTGTGCTCTGATAACCTTATTCATGTATATAAATGACGAGGGAAGATATCATAACTTCTCGCTCTTCCTTAAAGCAAATGTCTGACACAATATTAATCATACGATGTCGCTCACACTACCTGTGTTGTCCAGGTCGGAGAATGTGTCTGGGGGAGCCTCTGGCCAGGATGACAACTTTCTTGCTCTTCTCGGCCCTAATGCAACGCTTTACCTTCAGCCTGGACCCCGAGGTCCCTGTGCCCGACACGGAGGGCAAGTTAGGGTTCGTACTCTTGCCCCCAGAGTTCAAGGTATTCGCCAGATCCAGGTTCTAGTTGAAACAACCTCCAAAAGGAAATTGAAAATTAACACACCATTCTGTCATAAAGCACGAGTATAAAAAGTTATGACATTTTAGAACCGAGAATCATATGTACGGGCAGCATAAAACATCCACTAGACGACGACAATGATGAACACTCCATTGTAAACTATGTGAACAAGAGCTGGGACATACTCTCCAACAATATATCTGTGATTGCCCTGTTATAAGTGACTTCAGACCTAATGGTATGAGGTACTTTGAGCTCTGTAATTACTTCATTCACTCAAGAATATTGGAAGATATTCTTGTGCTGTACCAAGATTTTGCTAGTGGAGGGTATGAGATCAGCCTCACATTTTATGTTCTCACCTGATTTTTTAGTCAGAGTTGATTTGTTTTTGTACTGAGGCTGGTATTTTCTCCCCTGATTCCGTGTATGACTAACCATCCTGTGAGATGGGAATATTGGATGAATTTATAGCCAGCTGTTTAGTCAGAGCTGGTTTGTTTTTGTATTACGGCAGGTATTATCTCCCCAAATTCCATGTATGACTAACCATCCTGTAAGATGGGATTAATAGTTGAACCTATAGCTAGTTCTTGATCTACACTGTGTAATATATCATACAGAATAGGGTAGCAACACTTTGCTGTGTATACCTAATTTTGCCAATTAAAAAAAATTGTAAAGTGGGGAGAATTAAAAGTATCATCGGCGGACAGTAATTATTTTTTTCTTAATTATTGGCACATGTTAATTATGTTAAAACTTTGGAAAAAATTATGCACTGCAGAGGTTTGTCTATTCATTGTTTATACAGGCAATGTTGCAGCGCCTTCTAGTGTTGCAAATAAATGCAAATACACCTGCTGATCTCGATCCTTGGCTCACGTGAGCCTGGGAGGCTGGAACTGGTGTACCATCAGACCTGAGAAAGACAGCCAACAACAAATGGCAGAAGCATGGATATTTACTCTGAGGTATAGGAAGTTGAAAACCCCAGAGCAAGGCAAAGTATGCTACCTGAGTCATGCACATCAGTAAATACACACCATTGCCTCTACAGGATAAATATTATGAATTCTTCTAAACCTGACTAGGGGAGTTACTAACATTTTACTGTACAGCTCGCGACCTTGTTACCATGGGATGACGAGATTGAGTTTGACTACTATTGAGATTTCACAGAAGGTCATCCTCATCATCTGACTTAGTACTTGAATCATTAGACAGGTCAGGAATTAAACTTGCTGAAGGCAGCTCTAGTTCCTCCCTAGTGTGATAAGGTTTTAACTTATTAATATGAACCGTTCTCTCGGCTTGGTCTTCAAAAATACCTTTAATAACAAAATTAACCTGACCTGTTCTTTCAATTAGTCGATAAGGGCCCCGCCATCTAGGTGCAAGTTTTCTACTTTGATTGGCAGGAGCCGCTTCATTAACTCTCAATACAAGACTCCCGACTTTCAGTAGATATTTTGGTGACAGATAGCCCCACCTATGTAGGGCAATCAGATAAGAAAATCAGAAGCGGGGTGCCACATAGTGCCACTCCATATTAGGTCACCCAAGGAGTGAGTGGTAGCAGTCGAAAAAACAGCGAAGATAGGTATCTATTATGTACCGCTTTGATCATGTTCATTTATATAGTAAAGTATGACAGTATATTTAAGTAAAAAATTAATTTATTTGTATAATAAACACACACGGGTGAGTGCCAGTTACGCCCCCCACATTCCTCTATAGGGCAGGTGTAAAACAGGTTCCTCTCGGTAGGGGTGGTCGCCCGTACCCTACGTCACACCTCATGACCTTGACTTTACCGTAACAGCGTTCCACACCCAGTGGGGTGGTGTTGGTCTTATATAAGAGTATTAAATTATAAATCTCCCCCAGGGGTTAAAAAAATCAAAGAATTTATTAATGCTTTATTAGGTAAAAATCACAAATGATGTATAAGAAGTTAATTATGATAGGTAATAATTGTAGTTATGGATTCCTCACTCTTATTCCTCACTCCCCTCCACCTCCCCATCCTCATCTGAATAGAATTCTGACGTCTCCCCATCTGTGGTGAGTGGGGGGAGGTCTTGACCCCCTCCCCCCTCTCTTGGGGGTGTGGGGTGAGTTGGGTGGTTGCCTTTTGCTTGAGTTTCCTTCTCCCCCACATCTGAAGTGTTCTGGAAAGAGATGAGGGAAATAATTTATAGTGAATAAAGGTTTTTATAGGATTATATCTTTTATTTGAAAAATATTCTATTTCCTCTAAGAACGGCTAGTACATACCTCTCCCCCTGCAGGAGCGACCTTGTGTCCTCTACAGCAGGCATCATCAATTAGGCTACGTAACAGCATCTTGTTTGGGGCAGACCCCCACATAGAATTACTACTCTACAAATGTGGACAGGTCCCAAGAATTGCACTGAAAAAAGAAGAGGTAAAATAGAGGTTGTACAAACTTTCTATTGTGGGAAAAAATAAATCTTTACCAGAAAGTGAGGGTAATACTAACCAGGCCCTTCAAGGACTTCAATCTTCCCTGTGGGTGTTTTTGGAGAGACACATTCCATTTGTAGAATGAGGAGGTTGGAGGTCTTCTAGGAAGGTTGTGGGGTGAGAGGGGTTTTTATATAGGGGTAATCCCCTTGTTAGGTAGGTTGCCTAGCTAACAAAAATATTCTCTACACCACCTATAAGAACCAACCCCTACACCTCTACAAAATGTCCTAACACAATGATGTTTCATAGGAAAATATCGTCTCGCATAAGCGAGGCGCGTTTATCATTTAATTTTAAATTAACGCTTGAAAATACATTATGTAAGTAATGACTGTTGAAGGCAACCCCAGGTGACTTACACTATGAACAAACATGACGCAATAGAGACCACAGGCAAGAGTAAAATCACTCTGGAGTCTGTAGCACATTCCAAACACCTCTGTTATTTTGTTAGTTTTAATAAATCCTGAAAATAATGTCCATAAGTAACCGCCGATATTGCATAACTATCGAAAAATAACATTCGATGTTTAACTTTATCAACATAAATAGCTACCCAATGTCCCATAGTTAATCTGCTGTGTGATGGTAAAATATTAGTTATGAGGACGATAGGTTTTCTTGATGAGATATTTAAATGTTCTATCTCGTCTGCATTATAACACCCTAGGTAGAGCGCTCGATCCCCTAGATTATTTTTTAAATTAATATTTATAGCATAACAATTCATTATGTTTTTAAGCTCGCACGTCACATAGAACAGTTCTCTGCTCATCGATGGATAGTACCCCGGTCATTTCCCCAAACAGTAAAACCAGTCTGTTATATGTAACACCGCCACCAAATTCAAGCTCCATACGCAAGTTGCCAGATTTCTCCACAGGGAGGGAATCTTTTGTTTGAATGGTGGTTAAGTCAAAGGCAAATATTGATCTCCCCTTATTAAAAGTGGCATAGGCCAGTAGTGAGTCACGCTCTAACCCTAATGTCTTCAAAGTTTCGTAATAAAGGCGGGAATAATGATTGTCGAAATCACCGCCAATTCGGTAAATTGCGTTATTGTTCAAATACATAGCAATATTTTTCAGCTTTGCATTTTCAAAATATAATCCATTACCTTGGTGAAGACCGGCGAAATAATTCATTGGTACAATTACCATGAATATCTTGTGGGGAATTACTTGCGCCCATGGTTGATCAATTAAGAGACTAGTTTGATTCCCTGCTAGGACATATGTTTTAGAAATGGTTCTATTGAAAGTATAGGTTATGGGGGTCAGGGGGATGCTAACAGTGAGCTGTTTAAGGCTAGGTAGGCACTTGGGTAGGGGAACACCCGTGTTACCCATCTCTTAGCATAATCTATATGCAAGCGATACTTAGAGCCATCGTCCACACTTGTATTTAGCACCCAAGCATGTGGGGAGAGCTCCAATCTTAGACATACTTCTATATTATCTAATATGTATTGGTCTAGGGTTGTTACGTCCAATAGTAGGGGAAACACATTGACAATCCTTTACCTTTTAAATCGGACATAAATTTTTTATCCTTGGCGGTTGCTCCAGTAAAAAATGTATTAGTAAATTCGTTACGGATTACACCATCATCACTCCAGTCCCTACGAAAGGCTCCAATTCTCCCCAAGGAAGACATTTTTGATGGAGGTAATTAATTTAATAAACGACCAATAATTAAAATTAGAATTTGTTTCAACTACCTGCTCTCCTAAAAACACCTGAACACCTTGAAACATGGTATTTGACAACCCATTCACAAATTCCACATAGTTATCCTCTTCCAATTTTGTTGTATCGTCATCTTTCGTTAAAGATAATTCAAAATTCAATAAAGAAAGATAATTCTGATAATAATAATAAAAAAAAGATAATTCGTTAAAGATAATTCTGAATTCAATAATACCCATGATATAAATTCATTAGCTAACCTCTTCCTCTCCAAAACTCTAAGCCTCTACAACCTTCATTGTCCCCTTCTTACCAAGCAAGTAACTGACAAAAGATTAAACAATCCATGGCTCACAAGTGGCATTCTCAACTAAATCAACAAGAAACATGAATATGAAAAGAAACTTAGGATTGGCCTAGTTTCAAAGGAAGTAGCTAAAAGGTACTCATCAATGCTTACCAGTATCATAAGAAAGGCAAAACTTGCATATTATGTGAATAGATTCATTGATGCAAAAGGCAACATGAAAAGCACTTGGAAAGCAATCTCTAGTATCCTAGGAACTAAACAATACTCATATAACCAAATAAAACTCTACAAGGATGGGGATATACCGTCAACTGATTTAGAAATGGCAAATGAATTTAATAGTTTCTTTTCATCGGTTGGTGCTAATCTTGCCAGTAAAATCCCACAGACTCAGACACATATTAACACATATCTCTCAGGCAGCTATCCAAACTCTCTTCTCCTTTCACCAATCAGCCCGGCAGATGTTGTGTCCATCATACACTCTCTAAAAACCAAGGCAGGGAACACCAGTGAAATTCCGTCCATTGTGTACAAGAGAGCCTCCCATGCCCTTGCCCCACCCATTGCACTACTGTTCAACAAATCTATAGAGTGTCACACCTTCCCTGATATCCTCAAAAAAGCAAGAGTAACGCCAGTCCATAAAGGAGGCAATCCGGCGGACATAAACAATTATAGACCAATATCAAATCCACCCATTCTATCAAAAATATTTGAAAAAATTATTTACAAACAGCTCTGTTCCTACCTCGTAAAATTCGACATACTCAGCCCCTGCCAGTT